GTAATAGAAGCACTGATCACGACTTTATTAATGGATTGAGGAACCGATCCGTGTCGAAACAGAAATGGATCTGGGCTAAGCGTTACTCAGAAAGGTGGGGTCAATTTACATGTGATCTGCAGGAACTGCGTCATATAAAGTGCGAAGTTGTCCTAATTCCTAGGACAAAATGACCAACTTTTAGACTTAACTAAACGTCCACATAAACAATTTTTATCTTCAAGCATTTTTCGTTACAGATAATGTATATGCTATAATATAGCCTCACCAGATTTTTGAGGGCTTCGGCATTTTTAAGATCCCGATTACTTATATTACCTCTTAACATGTGTAAGTCAGATAATGAAGTTCCTTCTTAAACTTAGCATCTCAGTAATAACGTGATATTAAAAGGGTAACATCAAAACGAACTGCACGCCAGTAGTATTTTGATATAGATGTACAATACAAGATAAGAACCTAATAACATCTTTAAACGCAATATGTCTCATTTCGTTTGTATTGCATGATTCAGACTAGAATTCTATATAAAAGCAGTCAAGCATTCATATATAGAAACATATTTTGTCAAGTATCTCGTAGTACAATGGGTAAACTCACGCGTATATTTTCGCGAATCCTTAAAAAGTCCTGATCTAAGTATACGACACGGCGACATCACTGTGTTTTTAATGAGTATTCAAATCCGTTTCATTTTAATTGTCCGTTTTCCCTGTGGTGAGTTGCTTAAGCGCCGAAGGACCCAATTTAACACTCACGTTTTTTTAATTATTAAATACCACATTTCCTATAGCACTCTTTCATAAATAATAATTGTAAGAAGTGCTTTACACAAATCCGATAAAACATAAATCATACTATATAGAAATAATGTACAACATTAATTACGTAAACCTATTTAAACAATAATGTATAATCTAGAAACAGTAAAGGATGGTAAGAGAATACAACACATTAGTTTAAATAAAAGGCTCAATTAAAATTAAGCATCTGATAATATCAAAAGTCAGTTACATGTATATGATTTAGACTACACTCCAAAGAACTTATGAAATAAATGTGTTTTTGAGAGCTCTCTTAAAAACATGGCAAGTATTACAGCTCTCTAATGTCATGTGGTAACGCTGTTCCATAATTTCGCTGCGGCTGTTGGAAGCATTCACGCCATGATCGTTATCTGTCCGAGATTGAGGCACATAATCAATGTCATTGAGTTTATTCTGGGACCTCAATTTCTGGACTGGGATTTACACTTCTATTCATCTTTTTAAATAGCCTGGATTGATCGATAGGGGGATTATATTAATAAGTCAAAATTTAGTTTCGACCCGATACTCCTACCGGAAGCCAGTGAATCACTAAGATAGGTGTTATGTGTTCATATTTGAGTGTTTTGGTCACAATCTAGCATGCTGAGTTTGGGAACATGTGTAACTGTCATTGACTTTTAGAATCTCCATATATAAAGCATAACAAGTAGTCAACCTAGAAAATTGAATTACTAAAGATTGGTTTCTTTAACAGTATGATAGCGATTGACCGATTCTAATTTGCGTAACATTCCTACAGACATTATTACATTGTTCATCCTCATGTTCGAGTAAGAAATGCACCAAATTGCGCAAATAGATGACTTGGTTAATTTCGAACGTCGACTGTTACTGTAACTCTGAAACTAGGTTTTGCGTATGATTCAGAGAGAAGATGATCGAACCGGTTTCGCGTTAGCTTCAAGCAGGCATTCCACAACTTACAAATCTTCAAGAATCTCTTCCAATACGGTTTATATTCTCCGAATTGAATATCAGTCACTGTTTGAAGATAGATTGTGAGTCAGTCTGCGAAGAAATGTTGTTTAGATCATGTTTACGGCAGATTCTCCGACAGGTTCGCTAGTACATACTTCAGTCTTGGTGCAGGACAGGACCTTTGAAGGTAACATCTGTACTCCAATGTGGACTGCTGTGATAGTTTGTTGTTATGCATACAGTCCGTATCGGGTCGCAGGTAAATCTCCAATTGCGATGCTTAACGTAATTCCAAGTGTAGTTCAAAAAGCGGCGAAGGAAGCTTCCGTGATTCAAATTGGTATCAAAGCATCAACAAATCAAGCTCCGGAGAATAGTCACATGTTATTATCATAAGACCGTAAGAATGTCACTTTGACTTTTAAAATGCAGTCAGCAATGAACTTAGACAGGAATGCAATTAGACACATCCTATAGTTTTCATCAGCTTCGGTTAGGATCTAGATTTGGCTTTTTAGAATGGTCTTATCGTGTGTTTTGAACATTTTTGAGTACATAAGAAGCATCCAAGGACACGTTTAATAAAACTGGTTATCACTGGTGTTAGATTCATCCAGGCATTCTTTTTTAACAGCTTTGGAATGGGATCTAACTTAAGCAGGATTTGTGTGCTGATTTTTGTTAATCAATGCTTTCACTTCTTGCCTCTGTGGTTGAGCAAACACAGTATATTTCGTGACACCCGTATATTCAGATTCCATATTTACATTTATCAGGTACGATTATGTTTGAGGAACGTATCGTATTCCCTTATTGTTTAATCTTTCGATAAAGAAGTCACTGAATTTCTGGGCAAGGCGCTCTTGAAGATATAATTAAACTGGTCAAATCACTTCATTTGTATCTCCAAGTAGACCTTTGGTAATCTGATAGATTTATGATCATTGCCACAAGACTGCTAACTTACTTTGTATAGTATTCTACACGAGCTTGTTTTTAACATCTTGTTCACACTAGAACAGTGTGTTCTGTAGATCTGATGGTCTATTGTAAGTTTAGTTTCACGCGCATTATCCGTTCCAGTTTACGTTTTCATGTTTGGCTTCGTGGAGTTGCTCTGTATACCACGGACAAGCAGGTCTTAATGTAATAGCTCCTTGTTTAATTATCGGAGCATGTTTATCCAAAATATGAGGTTAGACTGTCTGAATACTCATTCAAAAACCATCTAATGTCAGAAGGGATACACTCTTTGTTGAAGAATTCCATTTTCCGTATGTAATCTCGAAAAGAGATCAATGTCAAATTGCGCGAAGTTTTAATGTAGAAAACCAATTTCCGTACCGGTACAGGTTTTTGAGGCTTTGACATCAAATGTAACAGCAAAATGGTCACGTAAGATATTTCCAGCTAGAATCAGAGAGTCCAGGATCTACGACCTCTATTTTTGATACAATGTTGTCTGTTTTCCCCTTGATATCACTAACGTCCAATGTATACCTGCAACAAGGGTTGGTTCTTGTACATGCGAGCACTAACCACATGCATCAAGGTTACTTGTAAATTTTCTCGTATCGGTTGTTGTCTGGGTATAATCTAAATGAAGGTTCCAATCGCCATACTATGGTTGCAGACTGTCACACTGTAGCGTACTTAGTTAAGAACAAGGGGCCACTCATGATCAAGGAAAGTGTTTGTATTCAACCGTTGTTTAGAAGGGGTTGTCTGTATATTACGCTAGCCTCATCAGAGTTACCGCCCATACACTACATTACCAGTCCATGCAACTCAAATTGTAGAATTCCTTGCTTTGACTTGACGACTCAGTGGTGACTTGTATAGAAGCTTTTTTGGATGAATAGCTACACTCACCACCTCGCTACCAACACGCTTGACATTGTTTCATTTTGTTAGCCAGAGTCAAGTTCACTGATAGACCACTTATCACGGACATACCTAAGCTATGTTTCAGTATGGCACATTATATCAAACTCATTGGAGCGAATAAAGTCACATATGGATAGGGTTTTGTTTTTCACTGAGGCGTGTGTTCATTAAACATATTTTTAATGTTGTTTGGCTTTTACTGTGTATTGTGTTCAAGATTTACCCGGGTTAATTTTTCACATGGGCACATGTGCTGAGTGATTTTTCTATACGTCTTCTCTGATTAACTTTGTTATTTTTTGGGGAAGTAACTGTAAATTGTCAACATTCACACCATTGTAGTATCCAGGCTCGTCTAATCCATATTGCCCCTCTGTCCCTCTGTATTGCATTAACTTAAGTCCTTTCAAAGTGGTTGATAATAAAGGATTAAGTCCTTTTTGTGAACTTGGTAATGCCCGATATTATACAGGTCTGACCGTGTATATATAAGCCTCGTCGAGTTTCCGCTTAATAAAAACACATTATTGCTGTATGCTTTAAAAAATAAAATATTAAAATGTATAGAATCATCAAAGTTTTAAATTCCAAATATCTTTAAAACCACAAGAGTAATTCACAAGCAATTTATATCACTGTGATTACAAAATGTACTACGTAATATATCAAAATTTTCAGTCAAGTATAACTTTCACAAAACAATCAAGTTTGCAGAGCAACAAAAAATGCAGCCTACACCTGACGCATACTATTTAATAAGCGTTTCCCTGCGTTACCGTAATAGGAGACTAAATATGTCCGTATTTCTGGAGACTATGCATCTCTTAGCTCCAGCAGGTGAGATGGTTTTGACCCCTGAAGTTGCTTTAGTTTGTAACACCCGATTTCCTTCTTCCTCTGTGCTGTTTCAAGAGCAATAAATCGTCGATATCGATTTCAACACGAACATTTACACTACTGGGTATTCAAATTAACCGCTTCAAGAAAAACTAATAAATGAAATAATGTTTTTTTTTTACAATTTCAATAGAAACCTTATTTGCTAAATCAGCAGAAGATGTTATAAATTAAACAATCATTGTTTTCCTTAGAATAATTACATACCAAAATAGAAAAAAAAAAACATATTTTAAGTGTTGTTTTTTTTTTCAAGTATCTGTTTACATTTTGATTTTTAATTAAAGAAGCAAAGTTGATTTGGTTGTTTATAACTCCTCATTAAATTAGTCAATATTGTCAACAGTTTGTTATTTCAATAGCTAATGACTTCAGATGCTGATGTTGTTACCATAAGTTTTCGTAAACTCCTTTGAAAAATAAAAAGTTTCACTAGTCATTATTGGTAAACTTTGTGTAAGAGAATATATTATTAAAGATCTGTAGCCATTTTGCTGCTTTACTTGTTTATCTTATGTTTGTCTCTTTTCTGTTGTTTAAGTATACACACTGGAGACCAGGGGAGCCAAATAATGATGCTGGACATGCCAGCAAACACCAGGATTGTATGGCCTTTTATGGTAGCACTGGGCTTTGGGATGATGGATGGTGTGAAACGGAACATAACTTCATCTGTGAAATAGAGTTAGAATTATAAGACATTTCAGTGTCATTCGTTTTTTATATGCCGAAAGAATTTCGGCATATTAATGTTATTCCACTTGGCGTCCGTCCGTCCGTTAGCAATTTGGTTTCCGGAGCTTTACTTAAGTAATAATATTTAAACTTCATAGGATGATTGTCCATATTGGGTTAAAGACCCCTATAGATTTTGGGGTCACAAGGTCAAAGCTCAAGTTCAATATTACCTTAAAACTTAGGTCAAAGGTCAGGGTCACAATGATCTTTACACTGAAAATTGTGGTTTCTGGAGCATGACTTAAGTTCCATTTGGGTAACAGTGTTCAAACCTCATAGGATGATTGTCTTTATTGAATAAAAGATCCAAATCTATAATGTGGTCACAAGGTCATTAAATGACCTTAATATTGTTAACAGTTTTACAACTGTCAAACTTCATAGGATAATCACTTATATTGAGTACATTAGTTATATGCCCTAAATAAATTGCTTGTATTATGTTATCCCCCTGGCGTCTTTCCGTCCATCCGTCGTAGCATTTTTACTTACAAGATTACCACTTGATGGTGGTGCTTTGGACACAGCAACTGCATACATATGAAGGTTCTTCAGCTATAAAGGAGCATTGCTTTTTGAAAGAGGTTATACTCTTACAAATGCTTCATCCTACTAAAAAACACTTTCGGGCATATAATGATCCGTCTAGCGGTGCTCTTGTTTCATCTTGAAAAGAAATATTTAATAATCATTATGAAAAGCTAAGTTTTGTAACAATAAGATTCAAAGATAAAATTATCATTAAAAGTTTATAAAAAAAATCCAAAACAGCTAGAGAACGATTTAATAACTAGCGCGGGTATGTAGGAAAGGTTTCGTAGTATAGATACTTTAAACGTCAGTAAAACATTAACAAGTTCAAGTCAACAGGCTTCACAATACTTGGATACAATTGGAAAAAAAAGAAACCTTAGAAAAGGCCTTAATAAAAAACAGCAACAATGAAAATATTTCAGGGTCGGGATTTTTAGTCCGTTCTTGGAAGTAGTGGTAAATGCAAGCTACCGGCTAAGCAAATAAAAAATCTAAACATTATAAATGATGAAATACAACCCCATATAACTTTTTAACAATGAATTTTCTTTTGTCCAGAATAAAAAAAAATGGTTTTGAAATTCAAGATTGTCTAAAGACTGACTGAAATTATTTTGGTTTGACTTGAAAAATAACAATTGAAGAAGAAATGATAATTTCGTGTGAATGAAATGACTAATATAACAATATTGTTTGATTGTAGGCTTGATGTGGAACCTAGCCAGATAGTTGGATGATAAGCATTATTATTTGATGTCGATTTATGTGCAAAAGCCACAATAAAAGTCACGTTTCAACTGTAGTAGCCTTGTAGTATTTTTATATATCATCTCCTTGCATTCTAGTATTATCTAATTCTTTAGAATTTTGTATATATAGTCTGATATATAGATTTAATTATATTTCATTCTTATCGATGGATGTGTTACGCGAATAAAACGTACAAGTTCAAGGAAAACTAAGTTCCTATGGTATCACGGGTTCTATGATGTCACGGTATGTGTATTTCCTGAAACTACTAGTTAAAGCAACACATGATTATGATATTACTTTTTACGTGTAGCATCTTTCAGTAAATTTCATTTTGTGAATAATGAATATATGTGTAGTAAAAATCTTTATATTTGACTACTATTTCACTAAAAAAAATTTACAAAGTCAATTAAAATATATTATTTTCCCATATACTGACATATCGTATGTTCATATAGTTTTATTTTCATATAGCAAGTTAACTGCTAGAAGTTTTTCACAACTTAATTGGAAGATTTTGACCCATCCCTCCCTAAACTCTTGCATTTTTTGGAGATTACCATGAAACCGTAGTAACCTCTTCTGAAATCACCCAAAATGGCAGACAATGGAAATAGTTTAAAAATAATATTTTAATTGGATCTTCTGAAATAAATTTGTGTCAAAGAGTAGAGAGTTTTGGAAAAGGTTCATTATTAAATAGAAGATAAATCTCATCTATTTAGATATTTATATTTAAATGTTTTCTGATAAACGTAAAGTATCGTGATATCATAGAACCCCGAGCTTTTTATAGTTAACAACACTCTAATTCCCAGAGTATGTTAAAATGTATTCTAATCTACCGGTTTCAAATAAATTAAAAGTGTTAAGAAATCCACTTGTAACACATTCAAACACAGTCGTTTCAGCAAATTTTACAGCAACAACACAAACACAGTCGTTTCATTACCCAGTCACTTCTTATACGCAACAACAACAAAAACACAAACGCAGTCGTTTCAAAAATCCTTGCACATCTTATGTGTAACATAAACAACAACAAAAACACAAACACAGTCGTTTCAATAGCCTGTCACTTCTTATGTTCAGCAGCAGCAGCAGCAGCAGCAGCAGCAGCAGCAGCAGCAGCAACAGCAACAACAACAACAACAACAACAACACAAACACTGTGGTTTCAATAGCCAGTCGCTTCTCATGTGTAATAACAACATCAACAACACAAACACGGTCGTTTCAATAGCCTGTCACTTCTTATGTGTAATAACAACAAAACAAACACAGTTGTTTCAATAGCCGGTCGCTTCTTATGTATAACAACAACAACACAGTCGTTTCAATAGACAGATCCATATGTGACAAAACCTGTCTTATTAAATTATGAAATTAGTGTATAACAATAAGAATTTCACCAACAACTTTTTGTTAACAAAAGAGAACATGTCAATGTATGTTGCTAAATCTTTTGTTATTGAAATAAAAGTTCAGAGTTGTGATCTTGCAATAGCCGGTCACTTCTTATGTGTAACAATAACACAAACACAGTCGTTTCAATGGTGCCGGTCACTACCAACAACAACAACAACAACAGATGTAGAGTTTGTTGTGAAATATCAACAAGGGCCGTGCTAGCTAGTTGTTTTTTTTTTGCTAGAAGATAATCAATATGGCTTCTCTACAATATTGCTTAGGGGAGGAGTTTGTATTTTATCTAGGCGTATTAATTAGAAACAAATATACATTGTATAATGAATATACAATATTCTTCATTTTTATAAGACGCCAATGATGTGCACACATACGCGAGCGCAAACGCACCCATGCCCAGTTAAGTTCGTTTTAAGCATCACCCTAGATGTCACTTGATTAAAATGCATATTTAGACGCAAAAATGCTATAATTTCAATTCTGGTTAAAAGTTTCCAAAACGAAGCTCTTTGGCATAAAGCTGAATCTTTTAATTGTTTTGCTTTTTGTAACATTAACAAAGTTATCCTACAATACCATACTGTTTACCACATAACAATTTATGTTTGCTGGCATTTATGATAAAAGCAGCACGCCTCCAGATTCATGCTAATGTTCATGAAAATTTTGAAAAAGTATTTGAATGTATAATATTGTGAAATAATCAAAAAGAAGCCATTTACACATTATCAATGGCACTTACAACCCACGGAAATTACCAAAAAATGATCAAAATATGCATAAATAGCCCTTACTGCGTTAGAAACGCAGTAGAAATATAGTTGTAAATACTGAAAAATCAGTCAATCGCACATAGCATGTAAAATATTACATGTACTTGAATCTTGAATAATTTTACTTTTCCTAAAGACTTAGTTTGATTTTATTGAAATAGTTTGACTCATCTGGAGGCATACAGTTTTAATGGCTACTTTTTTCACGTGAAAAACTTCTACCATATGTTCTAAATTCGTTAAATATAGGTTTACCCTTTCTTCACGGGAAAAATTGCATTCGATGTATGTGTCTTTAGCTAAAATAGTGAGAAAAAGAATCCATAAAGAAAGTCCATAACAGCAAATTTGAAAATGCTGCAGGCTCGGTTTAATTGAGCCTGTTCATCATATAGGAAATTCCCTGAAACCTCCTCCAATACATCTATACTTAGAGCCAATAACTGTCAGTGTCTATTTGTTGTGTTGTCTTGTCTTGTGGATCGTTACCAAGTTTGTTAAAATTATAACCCTGTGTGTTTGACTTATTTAATGAGACCTTTTAAAAGCCTCTTCTCTACAACCTACGCAAAGTGCTTAGATTAGGTGAGATTGTTTTGAATTAGCATCTTCGGGTCAAAATTGGCCCGCCCTGTGGTTATTTTAATTTCGATGACTCAATTAGTAAACTCTTTTTAAAGGACCTCTTCTAGATTTTATATTAACAAGAGCTTAGACATTTGGCAGATATCAGTGTTTAGATGACATAATGTATATAAAATGTATATAACTTATGTACTTTGAATATAGAAAACTTACTTTTGAAACTTCGCATCAGAAACTGTGATGGCAAGAGCTTACTAGAAGAATTATGACATATTCAGACATTCGTCAACTGCACTTTGATAATACATATCTGACGTGAGCTTTTTGGTTCAATGGATGAGTATTTAAATGTAATGTCTAGTAAGAGTAAACGAGTAAAAAGAAATTGTTTCTATTAATCATTTTTGTGGAATAAGCTTTTAAATTGAAATTTGTAGAGTACCATTGATACTGTACGTAACTGTTTCATGAATATTCAGTGTCTATTATCACGGATTTATAAATCCGTGCTATTATATATGTACCTTGCAATTATTTAATTGTGTTTGCTTTGTAAATAGTCAAATGCATTTTTTTGCTGATCTAATTAAGCATTAAACGTTGAAAAATTTATTTTGAAAAGTAGCACAAGCTTAATTTATATCTTGACTGCCTAAATCATCATATCGCATGTACTTGAATTACCTGTGCATCATATGGAGCGTCAACACGGCTATTATCAAGGCTTTTTTTGCAGCGGTTACTTCCCTTGTTCAGTACAACGCCATTTACAGTTCAGTATGGATCTGCAAACATTGCAAGTAATGTATGATAGATTTCGCGGAACAGTGGATTCCCTTTACATTAAAAGCGGTTATCCATTCCCAAGCAACATTCCATTATCATTTACTAATCTGCCGGGAGTATTTACCATAAGTTCACATGGAGAAGATTGTCTTCTATTGAATCGTTTTCTCAAGAAACGAAAGAAGGCAAGTATTTAGCTTTAAAATATACTTTTGAACGGACCAGGTGTGGGCAAGTTGTAGTCAAAATATATTGACGTGCCAAAACTTGATTCTGAGATATTTTCGTTCTGGGGCAGAATCTTTTAGAGGCGAGATATTGCCCAGACACGAAAATAGCACAATATCTCGTCGCGCAGTACAATTAGTTGGACTACCGGTTGTCCAGGCTACTAGAGTCACAGTACCTGTGCTCGACCAGCCCAGTGCTCGACCCATACTTCTTTTTGTGAACGATTTATGCATTAAAGTGGAAAAAACCCTGGGAGTTTTTGTGTGCTATTTGTACCTGATCTGTAACCTCTACACCATGTACAAATACTCCAAGTTTGGTAGAAGATTGGCCATTTTGCAGACAATATTAAACAGTACACACATGTACAAAATACATTTCTATAATAAAAGAAGCAGTAAAAACAACAAAAAACACTCAAATAATGATAATTTATGGCAAATGGGGATAATACTTTGTTTAATTGCCTTTACTCTTATGCTTCCAATTGATGTCCATAAGACAGGCGCCCAAAAATCATCAAAACCCAGCTTTCCATAACAGGCAGGGGCTATGAACATGTAAACAAATATGGCAGCTGTACGGAAACAAATCAGGAACACACCCCTAAAAGCGTAGACCATTTGTATATTACACCAAATATCACACTTAACTATGTTTTCAGAGTAATTTTAGTATAAAAAAATATGAGAATAAGTAATCTCAAACACCCCAGTATATGTAAATTCCAAAACTCTTATAAACACTTTTTTTGTCAATGTATAGCATTTCCTTCGTATCATTATTTACTCTTATATTTACATCTATAGACACTAAAACATAAAATGTCATATCTGTTTTTTAAAAATAAAAGTTCTGATAGAGATAAAACGACCTGGTCGAGCACTGGTTTGGTTGCCTGAAAAATATAGTGGTTTTATACCCTATATACAACTCTGTGTTAAATTGTATCATGATCTGTGTCGTTAAAACCCTTTAGCTTATTGTGAGTTTGAAAGGGCCAGCTTTATAACAAAAAATAAGTTTTCCAGCAAACTTTTTATTCTGAAAGAGTTTTTATGTGATTTTGTACTGGTTGAAAAATTGTAAAAAAAAGAAAATGCGATGTCTTTCAATGATTAGGACTACCCCAAACCAAATCGGCCCCTGTGCAAAAATCAGCCCCTAGACGTTTCGTCCTTTTTCTGCAAGACGTTTCGGCCCTTTTTTGTTACATTTAAACAGGAATTCGTATACTTAAAATAGTTAAAATTATTTTATATTTAGATGTTCTTTTTCCAAGGTGTAACAAATTAATTTATTTATAGCTTATTGCTATAGCGGTTAGTAATATCAAAGAAAACTTCAAAAGTTTTTTAACTTATGATTTGTTGTCATTTCTTGATAATATTTTAAATTATTACTGTACTGTAATGTTCTGTCTGTCACTATTATTCATTGTAAAAAAAAATTCTGTTCTATTCTATTTGTTTTGATTAATACTATTTTAGCCTCATTCAATTACAAAATCATAATTTAATTACATGTATTCAATTAATTCTCTCATTCCTTTTATTCATTCATTTATTTTTGAATTGCTATTATTAAAATTCTGGTATAAAACACATAAAGGTAAGACTTTATTCATAACTAAATATGGGGTGGATTTGGTAAAGTGCCGAAACGTCTTGGGTAATTTGGGGCCGATACATCTTGTGGCAGAAATGACTTGAAATCGTAATATACAAACATGACACTACACAACTTGACACTGTTAATTGACCAGGTACAATTATCGATGACACCTCTAAATTATGGACTAATAATAACATCTTTGTATAAATAAAGTCATAATAATGGGTCATATTTTAAGTACGGGAAGTACTTCTCATTATACAAAGTAATGGGTAAGTTTGGTATCTCCTATCAGACCACATAACTTATTTTTATCAATAATTTGCAGAATCTTTAAAAGTAATGGCAAAATTGAACAGAAATACAACTCAATATGACATGTTGATTTCTCCTTTAACAGCCAATAAAAAACAATGCAGCAAGAATAAGGTGAAATTTCATGTCATGAGTGTAGGCATCACTTTAAGTGTTTTTCTTGAGTGAATAGATCTGTGCATAATGGAAAATTGCAACATCAAAGATGCAACATACAGTCTTACTGTATGTCTACCATTTTGCATTGTGCCTGTATATGTTCTAAGTAGTATTATATTTCAATGATGTATATTGGTAGTATATTTTGCAACATGAATGAAATGGTAACGGGCACTTCACAGAACAATCATTAATGCTACAAACTTCTAAAGCTAGCCCAGAAAATTATAAATGTTTTTATGCCTTGCGGAACATGATTATTTGAACATAAAATGTTCAATAATAAAAATACCCCTGTCCATCCATCCATCCCTGCATGCCAGGGTGCATGTGTCCTAAAATTCATGTCATGCATCATTCAGTTGCCAAAAGTGTTTAGCATGAGACAGTGTGTCATGCACAATGAGTGTAGGACAAAAGCCCTCCCCCGTCAAAAAGTGACAAGGTGTACAAAAGCCCTCCCATAAAAATGACAAGGCGGACAAAAGCCCTCCCGTGAAAATGACAGGGCAGACTAAAGCCTTCCCGTAAAAATGACTTGGCGGACAAAAGCCCTCCCGTGAAAATAATGGGCTGACAAAAGCCCTCCCGCAGCAAATACATATACAGTGTATGTACTTTGAATAGTTTATATTTTCTTTTCAATGCACTCAACATATTAAAATTGTAATCATGAATATTTTTGTTTTCCATTGGCATAAGCATGTTTGTATGTCAGAGCTTGAGCACATTCCTGAGAGACATCTGAATAATTAGTGCTAAAATCTGTAAGTGCATATTTATTCACGTACATATGAAAGATTACTCCTAATGTTAAAGTAAAATAAATAGAGTAATAAATGATCTCACTTAAAAGTTAGCGATTATAATGTCAGTTATATAAGGCCAATTGAAAACAGCAAGAAATATATGTAACAATTTGAATATGTCGAGTGCATTGAAAAAAAACAGAGGTATTCAACATACATATTCATTTTTGTTACAGAAGGGCTTTTGTCCGCCTTGTTAATTTCACCGGAGGGCTTTTGTCCGGCCAGTCATTTTCATGAGAGGGCTTTTGTCTTCTTTTTCCGGTTTTATGCTCCAGCACCGATGTAACTGAGAAATTTGTACTCTGCCAGTCTAAGATTAATAAGACCTTGTGAATATTAAAAGGCTGTATTGATCTACAGCCATCTGTTCTGTTACTTTTAAAAGTCTTTTATTGCAAAAACGTTATGAAATATCAACTATGCTGTCCTGTAATAATATCTATATTTATTAGCTCACCAGAGCCAAAGGCTCAGGATTAGCTATTAGTATCAAAGGGGGATGCTTCGGCGTCCGTCGTCATGCATCAACAATCGTCTTCTTCTCTAAAACTACTGGGCAGATTTACTTCAAATTTTGTCTGTAGCGTCCTTGTGACAGTCACACTTGAATTTGCTCATGTCATTCCAATTGGCCCCTTTTAGGGGTCAGCAGAGCTAAAAATAGAAAAACCTTTAAACATCTTCTTCTACAGAACTAATTGATGGATGATCACCAAACTTTGTCTGTAGCATTCTTTGGTAGTCTTTTATCAAGTTTGCTCATCATAATTTGATTGGCCCCTTTTAGGGATCAAGGGCTAAAAATAGAAAAACCTTTAAACATCTTCTTCTACAGAACTGATGGATAAATGATCACCAAACTTTGTCTGTATCATTCTTGGGTAGTCTTTTATCAAGTTTGCTCATATGAATTTGATTGGCCCCTTTTAGGGGGGCGCTAAAGCTAAAAATAGAAAAACCTTAAAATGTCTATTTCTACAGAACTAATTGATGGATGATCACCAAACTTTGTCTGAAGCATTCTTAGGTAGTCTTTTATCAAGTTTGCTAATATTATTTTGATTGGCCCCTTTTAGGGGTCTCTAGGGCTAAAAATAGAAAAAACCTTTAAACATCTTCTCCTACAGAACTAATTGATAAATGATCACCAAATTTTGTCGACAGCATTCTCGGGTAGTTTTTTTTATCAAGTTTGCTCATATTAATTTGATTGGCCCCTTTTAGGGGCCTGAAAAGGTAAAAATAGAAATACCATTAAAAGTCTATTTCTAGAGAACTAATTGAATGATGATCACCAAACTTTGTCTGTAGCATTCTTGGGTAATCTTTTATCAAGTTTGCTCACATTAATTCGATTGGCCCCTTTTAGGGGTCTCTAGGGCTAAAAATAGAAAAACCTTTAAACATCTCCTACTTCAGAACCAATTGATGGATGATCACCAAACTTTGTCTGTAGCATTCTTGGGTACTCTTTTATCAAGTTTGCTTATATTAATTTGATTATCCCCTTTTAGGGGCCACTAAAGCTAAAAATAGAAAAAAACCTTCGAACATCATTTCCTACTGAAATAATTGATAGATGATCACAAAACTTTGTAGCATTCTTAGGTAGTCTATTATCAAGTTTGCTCATATTAATTTGATTAGCCCCGTTTAAACTAAAGCTTAAATGCCCCAGGTCATGGCATTTCTTCAAATAATTGTTTAAACATATTCTATGCTCAAGTTTAACCCTTTCACTGCCATAGGGACGGCTTAAGCCGTCCCTGTTATTTTCGGCGTATTTGCCATATGGACGGCTTTAGCCGTTTCTATAATAATGATAGTAATAATAATAAATTAATAATAATAATAATAAAAATAATAATAAATATAAAGAAAATTATACCATCGACAATAATTATTATTATACTAACAGATTTGGAAACATATATAATTATTATAATACAAATAACAAATAATAATAATTATATTAATTAATAATATAGTAATTTCTTAGAAAATCCTCTGGCAAATAGGTGAACACTAAAACAATAACCCTCTGGCAGCGAAAGGGTTAATATGAGAATATATTGACATTCCAACACTGAAAAGCAGTTGTTTCTGGTGAGCGACTCAGGGCCATCATGGCTCTCTTGTATAAATTATATTATCCGGTTTCCAGTGAGTAACATAATTATATGGTGGTGGAATCTGTGTTGTTAGACACATTTCTAGTTTCCCTTTATCATTAGGTATAACTGAATGGTTAAGTTTAATTCACTGTTATTTTTTGTATCATGTTTATGGGTCCAGAAGGTCAAGGTTAAGATCACTTCCAGGTCCAAAAATATAAATCTACCAATATTTAATTGTACATACTTTTTAAATTGATTAAGTCTAAAAGTGTATTACATTTAAACATTGTCCTCTTTTTCTTATTCAGGGATCACACATCCAGAAATTAATGACAGAAGATGCTGATGAAGAGGTATATTAATCTTATTTAATTTAATTTAAACTGGAAATGAAAAAAAAAACCACACATAGGGATTCAGGGTTAGTCATTAACTTTTCTTAACCACTGGACCATTATGGCCCCAGTAGCCAAGAGTTTACTAGACATGACCTGATTTTAACCGTACCAAAATTTTGTTATACCCCATTATTATGTCACTACTGTTTAAACCTGTTATTTGTTTGTTTTTAGAAAAAGTTTTAAAAAAGCCAACTGTTATCATAACCTGTCAGTGGCTCTTGTTGTAACTAATACATGTAATATGTACAAAATTTACTTAAAAGTGACATAATGCACAGTTTGCTGTCAACTTAATTTGAATAAGTAATATTTCAAAAGATTGACTATTATAATGTTGCTTGACCAATAATTGATCATGAAATATGTGTATAATATAATATAAAATCTACCTAAATAATAAAATGACTGCCTCACTCTTTTTATGAATTAAATGTTACATAAAATCTACCTGCCATAAATAATAAAAAGACTGAATGTTACCTATAAATTCTGAAAGATATATTTAGAAATTAGCTTTCAAAATATTATTTATTTTTTTTTTTTATAGCGGGGCGTCTGTGGCCGAGTGGTTAAGGTCGTTGACTTCAAATCACTTGCCCCTCACCGCTGTGGGTTCGAATCCCGACAGGGACTTTGGATTCTTTCATGTGAGGAAGCTATCCAGCTAGCTTACGGAACGTCGGTGGTTCTACTCAGGTGCCCGTTCGTGCCTGAAATAATGCACGGAAGGGCACCTGAGGTCTTCCTCCACCAGTAAAGCTGGAATGTCGCGATATGACCTTTACTGTGTCGATGTGACGTAAAACCCAAAACAAACAAATTTTTTATAGTAAAATATGGACACAATTATGGCAAAATGTCAAGTTATTTTTAGTTTTAGCTGACCACTGACCATTTATTCTTGGATGGATATAATGTCACTTTAATTGACCCCTAGTCTATCCAAAAGTCTGTGAAAAAATAATGTCCTATATATTGTCTGTCAAATTAACCACTTGTCCAAGGCAGTTGTGAGATTAACTTAGTAGAGTGTCATGCAGGCATACACGCAAACTCACTTACACACATCCAGCCGATAAACTGAACCAAACACTGCCATTTTATTGGTGCATTAAGGTTTATAAAACAAAAGATTTTTAAATGAAAAAGTTAAAAAAATTATCAAATTGGCAAAATAACTGTGTATAGAAAAAAGCTTCTCTCTTACTGATAAGAAACATATTTTTTTGTAAAGAATTTACATAATTTCTATGACATGTTGTTCTATCTATCTATCTATCTATCTCTGGATACTGCCAACCCCTCTTACGAGTGTTAAAGGCAGGAATTTAGTGCACGTCGGATTGTTAGTAAAAGGTGAAGAGAAAAGCTAAAAAGAAAAGTCCAAACATTGACATGCTTGGAAGGTGAGACTGAAAATGTATTCTAGTCATGGTTAAAATGTTAATAGTGAAACAAGATGATAAGAGATAAAATAGTTTAAAAACACTGGGAGTAAGACTAGTACTGCAAACCCACCACTGCCTGTTTGAACTGACTCAGGTTGGGCAGGGTGGCAATGTTACTAGGAAGTTTATTCCATAGTATAATGCTATGAGGGAAGAAAGAGTACTTATGGTAGTCGGAGGATACCTGTATTTGACGTAGGGATAAGGGATGCATATGTCTGGTTAATCTATGTGGGGTTTGAACATAAGTTGGGAGATTAATTGCAACTAGGTTATGGTATATCTTATAAAACATTATCAGTCTACAGTCCAGTCTGCGATGTTCAAGGGATCGCCAGACTTGAATGTATATAGCAACTTATAATGCTGCACATTTGTAACATTGCTTTTCATTGGATAATTGTGATGTTTATATAGTGTTAATATACATGACTGCTGTCAATTAATGAAGAAATTTCAATCTTTTCTCTAAAAATTGTAAATTTGTTATAAATCTTTCTGACAGGTTACTAGTATATGACCATATATAAAGGTTTCCTTGCAATTAATAACCCTTGCCTAATGGTTTGGGTTATATTTCCAATCAACCATTTACATGTATATAGGGCAATATAACCTGTTAAAAAATCTTAATAACTAATAAAATACATACCATGTAACAATAAAGAAATGAAAGTAGCGCATACTGGTTATATTTACAGGTAGTCAATAATTTTGAGTTTTGTTATTGCCATCACCTATCATACTATGTAGTTTTCTTTGTTTGTTCTTAGATGGGACTAAAATATGAGTTTATTAGCAGTAATTCTATATGACCAGATACAATATAATCACATTTTCAGGCAAAACTCAAAGTCAAATAAAAAACTTTCTTAAACCTAAATTTCTTTAGATTTAAAATTTCTTTATAACTGTGCTAAACGTGAAGTTTTTTGTAATATGGAATGGTTAATACACAATATACTTCTTTAACTGTATTTGCCTGATAAGTTTTATCTCTTTCTTGTTTCAGATTAATTTTGATGATCAAGCATTACAAAGACCATTTCAGCTTTTGTTGGAATGTTTAGAAGAGGACAACTTAAAGAAATTAGAGACAATTTGGAACATGAACAAAATATCTGAAAAACAGTTGTTAGTGGGAGTTGGTGTGCACCTTATTAAAAAACTTACAGGTGAAGCCTATACTACAGAGGATAGAGCTTGTGAAGTATGCCCTTGTGGTTGTGGTGGTAAACTGGACACAACAGCGATGTGTATAGGTAAGCTGGTACTGTAGAATATGTATTTTACAAATGTAACATATAAAACAGAAACCGCTCAGAAAAGATTTTTTGAGGATTCAAAGTTCAGTATCCATCTGTAGTTGTGAATTTTTTCCTTGTTGATATAATAAAGGCCACCAATTTGACAAAATCTTCATCAAAGTTATTTAGATTGTTTATCTTAGTTGAAATCCTTTTCTTAATTTCCTATTCAACTTTTTATATGCCTGTTTGAAAAACGGGTTGACTATCATAGTTTCCCCTCCGGCTGGCAGGCGGGCGGGTGGTGTCCAGTTCTTGTCCTGAGCATATCTCCTACACATACACATGGAGAAATTTAAATAAAATTTCATACAAATTTTCACCACTAAGAGAAGCTGTGTCACGCATGAACCAGATCTCTAGGTCAAAGGTCAAGGTCACACTTAGAGATCAATGATAAACACTTGTTGGGAGAAAAACTTGTAAATGCATACAGGGATTTCAATATAACTTGGCACAAATGTTTAGCATTGTGAGTTAGAGTGTTGCGCGCAAAATTTAGGTCCCTGTGACCAAGGTCAAGGTCACAAATAGGGGTCAATTTACTCAAGGATGAGATGAAAATATGTATTTTGACCATTTAGTATTTATTTCTTGAGGGATTGAAACACAAATGGTCATTATCATAACTACTGGTGTGAAATTTAGGTTAATATATGCAAGTTCAAGGTTACCAAAGATGATTAAATAAAGAAATTTTGATCAGAGCATATCTCCTCCACAGACAGTGGGATTCTAATGAAACTTCATAGAAATGTTCACCACTATGAGAAGCAGTGTCACATGCATGAGCCAGGTCTCTAGGTTAAAAGTTAAGGTCACACTTAGAGGTCATTGGAAAAAGTTTGTTTGGAGCCAAACTTCTATGTTCATTGGGGGATTGTAATGCAACTTGGTACAAATGTTCACCAGTGGGAAGCATATTGTGCACATATTTTATATCCAAGCCCTTGCTATCAAAGTCAAGGTCACAAAGAAAGGTCAAAGTTTGTGCACAGGGACCATATAGTCATCATTTATTGATGGATTGTAACACAAATGATAACTATCATGACTACAAGTGTGACACATTTAATTTAGGTTAATATTTGCAAGGTCAAGGTCACTAGAGAGGATAAAACATCCAGATATTGCCCAGAGCATATCTCATTTATGCATTCTAATAATGCCCTACTCTCTGTCAAAGGCTTTGTGATGGGTGTATTTTCCACAATGTTGCCCTTGTTTATGGCATATTATTCCCTTTCAAGGACAGGTGAATATGGATTTGGCATTGTTTGTCCAGCAGTTTGTTTATCTTTTCCTCTGTCTGGCATAAGTCATAAAATTTTCCATCACAGAATTGATTGGAGCATAAAACTATAACTATTTCAGTTTTGACCCATAAACTTCATATGTGGATACATCTCACTTTGAAAAAGAATCATAACTCTCTTTTACAAAATTGTTGAGTTATTGCCCTTAGCATTGTTTTAAACATTATTTTTGCATTAAAAAGGTATAGATGGCATTAACTTTTAACCTTAAAGAGTGATAGATCATATATAAGACAAAGGGCAGTGTATTAGAACCATAACTCTTTTGCATAATTTTGGGGTTAATGCCCTTCCCTTTTTTACATACTTGATTCCATGATTTTAGTCCACAGAGTATCTGATAAAGTATTGAAGATATCAATTTAAAATTTCACAGCTGTATTTATCTCATAATTGATGGAAGGATATAGATTTAGCATTGTCTGTCTTGCAGTTCTTCTGTCCATAAGTTTTGTCCTCTGTCTATTTGTCGGTCAGGCTGTCCATTTATTGGTCAGTCATCTTTATTGACATTGTATGTTACAGAGTTGAATGGAGCTTATGTTTGGAACATAAAACTGTATATCTGGTTAAATATTATTTAGAATTATTGCTGTGAGAAAAGATGATATGTCTCTTTTGAATATTTTTTGAGTTTAAGCTCTTTGTAATTTTCATACTTTTTTTTACTTGTTTATAACTAGAAAAGTATAGCACTTATTCACTTGAACCTGATATTTTTAAATTTGCTAGATCACACAGTAGGCAAAGGGCAGTGTAATAGAACAATAACTCTCTTTTGCATAATTTTGGAGTAATTTTTATCCCCCGCCGAAAAGGTGGCGGGGGATATAGTAATAGTCTCCGTCCGTCCGACCTTCCGTCCGTCCGTCCGACCAACATTTTTGTCCAGAGCATATCTCAAAAAGTATTTGAGGTATCAACTTGAAACTTCATAGGTGGATAGACCTCATTGAGGAGGAGTGCAGTGCACAAGAATAATAACTCTACCCTGCATAATTTTTAAGTTATTGCCCTTTGTTATTTTTCAAAATTAATTTTTGTCCAGAGCATAACTCAAAAGGCCTTTGAGATATCAACATGAAACTTCATAGGTGCATAGATCTCACTCAGGAGGTGTGCAGTGCACAAGAATGATAACTCTACCTTTCATAATTTTTGAGTTATTGCCCTTTGTTATTTTTCATACTTAATTTTTCACCTGAGTGGAGCATAACTCAAAAGTGTTTGAGATGTCAACATGAAATGTCATTGGTGGATAGATCTTATTGAAGAGGAATGCTGTGCGCAAGAATGATAAATCTTTGCTGTATAATTTTTGAGTTATTACCCTTTGTTCTTTTTCATACTATTTTGTCCAGAGCTTATCTCAAAAAGTATTTGAGGTATCAACTTGAAACTTCATAGGTGGATTGATCGCATTGAGGAGGAGTGCAGTACACAATAATGTTAACTCTACCCTGCACAATTTCTGAGTTATTGTCCTTTGTTATTTTTCAAAATTAATTTTTGTCCAGAGCATTACTCAAAAAGCCTTTAAGATGTCAACATGAAAATTCATAGGTGCATAGATCTCACTCAGGAGGTGTGCAGTTCACAAGAATGATAACTCTACCTTTCATAATTTTTTAGTTATTGCCCTTTGTTCTTTTTCAAACTTAATTTTTCACCTGAGTGGAGCATAACTCAAAAGCGTTTGAGATGTCAACATGAAATGTCATAGGTGGATAGATCTTATTGAGGAGGAATGCTGTGCACAAGAATGATAACTCTTCCCTATATAATTTTTGAGTTATTGCCCTTTTTAGCTCACCTGTCACAAAGTGACAGGGTGAGCTTTTGTGATCGCTTTTCGTCCGGCGTCCGTCCGTCCGTCCGTCCGAGCAAACATTTGATTATTATGAGCTTCATTCCGTAGTTAAATAAAGAACAAAAACTCATAAAATTCAAATTAAGAGCTATTTTTTTTGTTTTTATGAGCTTATTTTGCTGATAGACGTTGGCCCAGGCGGTGTTTATGAGCTGATTTGCCTCATAAACATCAAAAGTTGGTACGTCCGTCCGTCCGTAAACTTTTGCTTTAAATGACATCTCCTCATAAACCACTGAGCCAATTTCATCCAAACTTCACAGGAATGTTCCTTTGGTGGTCACCTTTAAAAATTGTTCAAAGGATTTAATTCCATGCAGAACTCTGGTTGCCATGGCAACCAAAAGAAAAAACTTTAAATATCTTCTTTTAAAAAACCATAAGAGCTAGAGCTTAGATATTTGGCATGAAACATCTTCTAGTGAGTGTCTACCAAGTTTGTTCAAATAAAAGCCCTGGGGTCAAAATTGGCCCCGCCCCTGGGGGTCATTGATTTTCCCTATATGCATATAGTAAAAACTTAAAAAATCTTCTTTTAAAGAACCGTAAGAGCTAGAGCTTAGATATTTGGCATGAAACATCTTCTAGTGAATGTCTACCAAGTTTGTTCAAATAAAAGCCCTGGGGTCAAAATTGGCCCCGACCCAGGGGGTCATTGATTTTCCCTATATGCATATAGTAAAAACTTAAAAAATCTTCTTTTAAAGAACCCAAAGAGCTAGAGCTAAGATATTAAGCATGAAACATCTTCTAGTGAGTGTCTACAAAGTTTGTTCAAATTAAAGCCCTGGGGTCAAAATTGGCCCCGCCCCGGGGGTCATTGAGTTTCCCTATATGCATATAGTAAAAACTTAAAAAAACTTCTTTTAAAGAACCATAAGAGCTAGAGCTTAGATATTTGGCATGAAACATCTTCTAGTGAATGTCTACCAAGTTTGTTCAAATAAAAGCCCTGGGGTCAAAATTGACCCTGCCCCAGGGGGTCATAGATTTTTCCTATATGCATATAGTAAAAACTTAAAAAATCTTCTTTTAAAGAACCCAAAGAGCTAGAGCTAAGATATTTAGCATGAAACATCTTCTAATGAGTGTCTACCAAGTTTGTTCAAATAAAAGCTCTGGGGTCAAAATTGGCCCCGCCCCCGGGGGTCATTGATTTTCCCTATATGCATATAGTAAAAACTTAAAAAATCTTCTTTTAAAGAACTCAAAGAGCTAGAGCTAAGATATTTAACATGAAACATGTTCTAATGGGTGTCTACCAAGTATGTTCAAATAAAAGGCCTGGGGTCAAAACTGGCCCCGCCCGGGGGGGGGGGTCATTGATTAAACTTCCTTATATGTGTATAGCAAAAACTTAAAAATCTTCTTTGGAAAAAGCCAAATAGCTAGAGTTTAGATATTAAGCATGAAACATCTTTAAGTAAATATCTACAAAGTTTGTTAAAATAAACGCCCGGGGGTCAAAACTGGCCCTGGCCCAGGGGTGACATTGTTTTTAACTATATGTGTATAGTAAACACTTTAAAAATCTTCTTTTAAAAATGCCAATGAGCTAGAACTTAGATGTTTAGCATGAAATATCTTCTTATGGGTGTCTACCAAGTCTGTTCAAATAAAACAAATAAAAGCCCTTGGGTAAAAATTGGCCCGGGGGTGGGGGGCCTATATACAGGTGAGCAACCTCAGGGCCATCATGTCCCTCTTGTTTCTTTTTCATACTATTTTGTCCGGAGCTTATCTCAAGAAGTATTTGAGGTATCAACTTGAAACTTCATAGGTGGATAGATTTTACTGAGGAGGGGTGCAACATACAAGAATGATAACCTACCCTGCATTATTTTTCAGTTATTGCCCTTTGTTATTTTCAGCCATCAGTATTCACATAGGTTTCAAATCTGTAATCAGTATTCACATACGTTTCAAATCTGTAATCATCAGTTTTCATTAACAAAAGATCTTTTAAAATTGAATTATTCTGCTTTGCTACATTTTGTACATACATGTATACATTCTTCCAATGA